TGCCGGGTGCCGGTTTGCCGGGTGCCGGGTGCCGGTTTGCCGGGTGCCGGGTGCCGGGTGCCGGGTGATGAGTGCGTTCTATAGTTAAATCATGTTTGATCAGTGCGTATTATGTCTGATTTGTTAAACGCAGTGTACTTTTCCTTTTGGTTCCGTCAATATTTTTCAAAGGCAGCGTTCACTGATCGGTGGCCAGGTCTTTGAGAACGCCGACGAAGGAGAACACTTCTGGAAGGTGAAGAGTGGCTTGTTTTATCATTGTTTTCCGGTGACTCTCTGTGCGCTGTCTCTTTAGTTTGTTTGTTGTCGCAGGCTCCAGCACAACACATGAACTTTAGAGTTGATATTTGGACTGTCAACTACCGTGACTGTGAGGTCATGTCAAATTGCTTTAAGTCAGAGATAAATCTTGGTCCGACATGGTTGCCACCTTTCGCTGACAAGTTAAAATACAAGCCCTTGTCAAATAAACAGTGGGTGCTCATGGCTAATTCTCGTCGCATGAAGTATTTGGACCAGGAGTTGCCCAGCGACCCCAAAGCTCGCCGGAAAGCCTTGCAGAAACTGTACGAGAAGACAAGAATCTCGTAGTGTATATTATATGCACAATTGTTCTCATTCATTGGCGTGCGCCTTGAGTGTATAATTTGTGGGTTAGTGACCCAAGGGTAGAGAGGTCTGTGGAGTAATTTCTTTGTCGTAAGTTGACCTAAGGAAAGGACAAAAAGCAACATGCAAAAAAGGAGCAAGGCCAGAATGTCATGGGAGCAGTTCTTGATGTGCAGCCTTCATCTTCAGGGGGTGGATCTGAAGCCTCTAAAAAGGCTTCACTTTCTGGGGGGTGCGAGATGCCGCCACAACAGGGGAACAAAGTGGACGGCTTTGAGAGCACCAAAGAGTTGAGCTTGGTAGATGGCAAGTTGTCTTGCCATCTTTGCTACAAGATGGAAGAAAAGTTCGTCCATGAGATCTATGCCATGCGTGACTTTGCTCATTATACCTTAAGTTGGTGCTAAGTGTATGCACTATCTTGCCATGGGACACACATGTTTCACAGAGCGTATACCAGTCCCCGTGGTCGGTTTTTGAGTAAGGCCAACAGATGAACAGCTTGGAGCAGCAACTGAAACGGAAGAATATAGAGATTGCGGACCTTAAGCTGAAGCTCCTGGAGTCCTGTAGGAAGCGTTTGGCCAGATAGATTGGAACTCAATCTGAGGTGAAAAAAAAGTTAACTGGATTGTCGTTCAGTTTTCTGTTCAGTTTTCCGGCACTTTCAGCTTTAATGTTGACCAACGGCTGTTACCAGCGACACGTGCTGCCAGGTTGGAATGTGAGTGTGAAATCCTATGCACTATGTTTCACTCATACCAACACCGCTATGCTCAATGGAGAAAACGGAAGTGAAGCGTGGCCACCGCCACACCTATAGGACCCATATGTAATGACATAGCACCCATTTGCAAGGAAATTGCCTTATATATATTATAGACCATGCTAGACATCCGTTGGATGAAACTGAGCCTATACATGATCAACATCCATCGTCTGCTCGGCGGAAGCTTCGGAAAACCCGACGCCCACTCTGGGGCCATTCACTGCGAATCCCTTGGGTTCCAAAAACCAGGGTTCCAAGACTTCATCCTCACCTGCGACGTCTGGGCCTGGCGTGGTGATCCCCCCGCCTCCTCCAGGCCCTGCTCTATCATCCAAGCCAGTTGAATCATCGCACGAGGAGCAGCTGCACCTGCGAGGAGCGGGGCTTGGGAGAGCTTGGACTTGATGCGGCCGATGGGAGTGACCAAGTCAGGTTATCAAGAGAGGTTGTTCACAGCCCCCAAAATGGCGCATCCCAGATGCACCACTACAGGGTCCGAACGTTCAGGTCTCTCAACCTCTCTTGGTCTTTGAGGTCCAACTTGGTATCTCTGCTTTGCCCCAGACGAAGCCAGCAGGTCTGATGAGGTCCAAGGCCTCGGAGCTGGTGGCCTTTTCAAGACAAGAAGAATGGCCCCAGATAAAACCACGATATACCACTATAATATTGGTGGTGGTTTCAGATATCTTTATATAGTTTCCACATGTTTCAACCATTTACTTGGGATTTATATGGTTTCCACATGTCTTCACCCGCCGATGATCTTTTCTTCGGTTTCGTTTTAAACCACCAAGCAGACTAGTCAGACTACTGTAGCCATTTGAGAGAAGGACCTCGTAGACATCTCCTTTTTCCATCCTCAGCAAGCCGTCCTTTTCACCACCAGGACGCTATCAGCTTGGAGACCATGGCCAGTGAGGCCATGCTGCACAGCGGATGAGGCCTCGGCTCCGGGGAGTCACACCCAAGCGGAAGCTTGCGAAGACCGGTGAACACGGTGGGGCTTTTGAGTGCTCTTCAGAACCTCCCGAGAAAGAAGGATGAACAACGCGTGTGGGACCCACAACAGCAGGGGTGTATCGTGTTGGGGGGGGTGAAGAAGGATTGAAGTTGAGCTTCCTGGCAGGTTGAAGCCGGTCTGGTGCCAGTCTCCCCTACCCACAGGACCATCTCATCCTCCTTGCGTGTGCGTTTTTTCCATCAGAGAGGCGACCTGTTTGGGATGCCCAAACGTCTTGGCCAATAGTTCCATATAACCCAGAGGCAACCCTGGACCCTCAAATTGCTACATGTACATGTACGGTTCGGTCCAAAACCCTAGCGAACTGAGGGTCCAAACCCTTAGCGAACTCCAGCCTCTGCGAAATGGAATGTTTGGGATATGCCATTGCACCAATTGTGGCATAGCTGATTTGCTACCGAAGTTCACACCGCCTTTGCCGTCAGGACCAGCGCTGCATGAAGCTCAGGGCGAAGCTCCATTCAACGAGTGACGAAGATGCGGGCCAGTACCTTGATCAGCAATGCAGATTCTGATCTTACAAGATTGAAGATTGAGTTGTGAGCAGCCCTTGATTGCTGCCTGCAATTTTGGTATATTGAAGAGGTCAACACACAATCAAATGACAATGCCACCTCCGGACAGCACATGATGGCCAAGACCTTCCATCTACAGTGGTTTCAGAGTAGATAGTAGATGGCACAATCCTCAAAAGGTGGTGTATATGGACCCAATATAAAGTAGTTATACAGCAAGACTTCTTGGGGTGCCAGCGCCATCTACTCTGCAACCACTGTAAACGACTCTGGTTTGCACAGTGTTTCACTTTGAATGCCGTGTGACACGGATTGCCGCATCGTTGGATTGTTGGCGCCGACTGAGGTACCGAGAAACAGCAAATTCTCCATGTCTTGCCACTTGCATGAGCTATTCAAAGAACGGTGGGGGGCAAGCGTTTGCTTCACACAAAAAGGAACAACTACTACCGTAGGTAGGACCATCCGATGGGTGTCCAATGGACTCCCCTACATTGCTTAGGGATCTCCATTGGACACCCTTGGATGGTCCAGGTATAAATTATGTCTTCAATTTGGGGGTCAAGTCTCGCTGTGATTCACAGATCATGGGGAGCGCCGGATGCCGCGCGGCACCGGCGCCGCGCGTTCGGCGGCACCGAACGGTCGGAGACAGCCTGCGCGTGGCTCCTGACGAGACTGCGCCCCAGCTCACCGGCAGTCATAGTTTGGGGGGTTTATGTGTGAAATCCGCACGTAGATAGGAAACCGTTCTTTCAGGAAACACCATTGTTGCACCCATTTGAGGACCTTCGTCCAAAACGTTGACCGAGAAAACATCGAGTCTCCCGTTGGTCGGGCCCCAAAGAGTCTCCCGTTGGCCACGAACTCACGCCTTCAAACTTTTTCACATCATGGTCCTTTTCCCCTTCAAGATCCCAATGGGGTTAGCCGTCACCCAAACGTGGGCCGTGGGCCGTGGGCGTTTTCCATGGGCTTCCCGGCCCCAACGAACATCGACGAACAAAACAACAAACGCAGCGCCCCGTCTCGGTCCCGTCGCCCGCGTTGCGTGGTGAAAAAAACCACCACATCCCCGGCCCTGTCGGAACCCTTCGTCCGTCTGCCAGGAGGAAGTGATTTCTTTCCAACGAGTTCGATCTTGTGAAAGAAGAAAGTGCAGCAGAGGTTGAAGAACCCTAGTTCGACTATCCTATAGGTACCCCTAGTAGGGTCCTAGTTCACTTCACCTCTGTAGGAAGCTGATCCGCCGGCCGTGGCGGATCGGAGCACCGTGCGCCGTGCGCGATCGGATGCGTCGAAGGTCGGTGACGCGAGGGGCGCGGCGCCAGCGAGAGGGGCCAGCGATTGGTGTGAAGATCGTTTGGGGCACGGGACATACATATATGTCTCAGCACATCTAGATGATGTGGAGAGATTCGGACCATTTTTTGGTTGAGCCGAAAAGCCCGGGGCTTGGGGAACATCCCATGTTGACGTGGCAAGAATCACCCTGCCCACGTGGCCTGCTTCTCCGGTCGAGACGAGTCGAGCACGCCCAGGCGACAGTCGGAGGGATTTGGAACCGTCGCCGTTGAGCCAGCTGAAGGACGCCCGGTTTGGTGAGCCAGCTCAAGCCGCCGGGTGTGAGCTAAAGGAACCACGATGAACCAAGACTTGGTGCAGGAAGAATATCACCCGCAGTCACCCAGCACAGCATACTCACAGCTAGCGCTAGAGCAATTAGCTGGAATTTTTAAAGTGAATTGTTGGCGCCTTGAAAACGACCGGTCCCCTTAACAGACCGAAGGGCGCCCGATCGAGCGACATCCCATCGAACGAACAGGAGCTCACAGCGAAAGTCGAGAAAGACGATGCGGCTTGGCTTTCGCACAAAGTCTTTCTGAGTCTTTGGCTTTCGGTGGGTCTTTCCGGATCGAAACGAGGATCATGTGGGTCTTTCTTGTCGTGATCATGTGAGACATGGCCCCACTTCAGACATGGCAGAGCATGGCTTGGAAGAGTGGAACCTGGGATCTTCCGGATCTTCCGGATCACCATCGGACTGTTGTGCATCACATGTGGTTCGGCAAGCGGAGTTTCTTTTTCTAGCGAGGATAGATGATGAGTTTCTTGTATAACGTTCCGTAGTTGTCACAGATCCTCGCAGCATCTTGCAGCAAGCTGCGACCGGACAGCGACGTCTCGCGACGTCGCACGCCGGACGTCGACGTCGGTTGCCGGGACGGTGTACGTGAAACTCGAAATATTGACGCCAGTACGCCAGTCCTGTGTTTCTATTCCTCTCTGACTTGCTGCTTTCTCGTTTTCAGCTTGGTGTGTCTGGTTTCTTTGAAACCATATTCTCTTCAGCTGCTTCCTACAAGAGAGAGAGAGAGTTGCCTGCTGGATTCGATCTTCCCTTCATCCGCTACCCGGTGAGAGGGTGGAAAACACCAGTCTGCTGGTTAACCACCTATACAATCCTATACATGTTCCTGTTTTTAGCCAGCTCTTAGGTCGGCCATCGCTAGGTGGTTGGAGGCTATCGCTAGTAACAAGAAGCTACTAGGGGCGCTCCTGGCCTTACTAGGAACAAGAAGCTAGGAACAAAGGGCATCGCTACGAACGGAGCAAGGACGCTACGAAGTACCAGCAGTCACAGGAGCTCGGGGTGCGATCCACTCATTGGATGGGACTCAATGCCACTCCTTTGTGTGACTCCGGGACGTCTCGCCCCGAGGCCGCTGGAAGAATTGGTGCCTCACCAGATTGGAACCCAATCACCATCCATCACCACATCCTACAATTGCTTTGTTGTGTTTTGATTTGTTTCAAAACATTTTTTCAAATGTTTTCCCCAATGGCCAGTTTTGTGGACCAAGGGCCTGTCTCTCCCACTTTCGTTGACACTCCCTTTTCGAAGCAGCGACCGAGCTCGATCCGCCCAGGCACGTCGACGTCGTGCGACGTCTCCGACTCACGGTTGGACGGTCCTCCGGAGCGGACCGCAGGCCGCGGACCCGTGCGGCCCGAGCGGTCCGCGTTGCTCGGGCCGCGGAGAATCGGAGATGGATTCCGCTCTGGGCGACGATGTGACTCTGCGAGCTCTCTCGGGTCTGACCGGGACAGTCAGCAAGGATCCGAGCGGAGTGCCCCAACACGGGGCCTGGAAGAGTAACAGTCTAGGCCTAGGCCCTTGCCTGGCGGAAAAGAGTTCACACCGCTAACAGAAGTGCAAGAAGTGTATCTGTATACCGCTGCTTGTTGCAACAGCCACTGATGACATGCTCGCAGCCCCTGAAAAGATTCGTGAGGACGAGAGCATCAGGATGCTCTGGCAGTATCCAGGAGAAGTTTCTGGAGCCATCGCACGAGCCGTGATGACCAGCAAAGTCCTGAGGCTAGCTAGCTGTGTGCCGCGTGAAACGAAAGCAGGACATGACGTCACACGAGGTCCCGGCCCTTCCTGAGTTTTCTCTTGGTCCAAGATGGATCTCTCCTCAGACTTCACACGTGCATCTGGTCACGTGAATCACCTCAAGCCATGTGGATCTGGTCCACCCGATGCGACTCATGGCGACCCGATCCGCGCGACCCATGGCGATCTGGTAGAAGCCGGTGGAGCAAAAACGTCCGAAGGGGGGGGGGTCACGGTGTTTGAGGTCAGCAACCTCACTTCAAACCCATGGGGAGTCACAGCTACGGACGTGGTGCCACTTCTCCAACGGCCCGGCCGTTTGCCCGCAGAATAGAAGGCGCAGGCTCCAGGACCGGTCTCGCCGCCTCGATAAACACACGACTCTCCTTTTTCGTGGGCCTGTCTTTGGGGTATCTGCATCTCGGATGGACATGTTTTCTCAGCGGAGCACGGCGTGACGGCGTCCATTTGGAGCACACGGAGCACACCGAGCGGCCCCGTGCAACTCATGCAGAACCCCCCCGTCTTGAAACATGCCACGAGCCCGCGCGCGTGGGGAGAGTTCCCCTGCCACTGGCGCCAGGTGGCACAAAACAAGAAAGATGCTGAGGCACGAGATGGAGCCGTCAGAACGGGAGATGAACGGGAGATGTTCGACCATTGGTGGGTAGAAACTGATAGAAAGGGTTGCGACAGGTCCCAAATATCCCCCAACCCCACGATTTCCTACCAGGATTCTTGGTAGAGACCCTGGTCGCGCTCATCATTGTTTGGGACTCATCCATGTCGTCACGCGGCACGCGCTTCGGGGCTGGACGGATCTGGCCATTCTCCCAGCCAAAAGGTAGTACACCCTGGAAGACTAACATGGAACCTGAAAAACACTGGGTTGTAGAGGAAGATAGTCTTCCAAAGGTCCATGCCAAGCCCGGTTCCATGTGGGTCTCTTCCCGGGTCTAGTCCGAAGAGCTGGGCTTTCTGATCCCCGGCCTCCCCTGGCCTCC